CGGAAAAATATTTGGGGAAATAAGTCTTACCTCCAATGACCAAATAATTTGAGCTCTCATGGCTACTCTCTTCCATTTGTTGCTTTCCTTTAGCCATTTGACACCAAGAGCTTCTTGAACTTGAAAGTGGTTGAAGATGAGTAAATGAACAAAATAGGATTTTTCTAGCACTTAGGGTGTGTTTGGAAACCTAGAAAATGAGTTCTGGAAATCATTTTCCAAGTTTCCATTGTTTGGATGTGCCTGAAAATCAAGTCAACAGAAAATGTTTCCGTTGACTTTGGAAAATAGGCTTGTTTTGGAGGAAAATGACTTGCCTTTTTTTTGGGGAAGTCATTTTCCAACTTTTATACCAACATCACACCACCACCAACATCATCAACACCATACCACCACCACCTCACTACCACCATCACCACCACTACTGTCACCGCCACCACCACTATACCACCGCCACCACCGCCACCACACCACCACCATCACACCACCACCAACACCATACCACCGCAATACTACCACCACCATCAACACCATACCACCACCACCACCACCACCACCACAACGATCGTCGCCGCCACCACCACCACCATACCACCGCCACCACACCACCATCATCACACCACCATTACCACCGCCGCCGCCACCACTACCACCATACCACCGCAACCACCATCGCTGCCACCACCACCACCATACCACCGCAACCACCGTCGCGGCCACCGCCACCACCATACCGCCGCCGCCACCACCACTACCATACCACCGCAACCACCGCCACCACCACCACCACTATCACACCACCGCCGTCGCCACCACCACGACCATACCACCACAATCACCACCGCCACCACCACCACCATACCACCACAACCACCGTCGCCGACACCACCACCACCACCATACCACCGCAACCACCGCCACCACACCATCACCTCCACCACACCACCGCAACCACCGCTACCACACCATCATCACCACTACCACTGCCACCACCGTCATACCACCACCAGTTATTATTATTATTATTATTATTATTATTATTATTATTATTATTATTATTATTATTATTATTATTATATAACAAATAACACCACTACCACTACACCACCACTACCACCACCACCACCATAATATTTTTGATATATTATTAGTTATTTTTTTATTATATTTAAAATTATTATTATATTATTATATATTATTATACATGTTGTAATATTCTAAATAAAATAATTAAAATATTTAATTATACAATTCTACTCATTTTTCAGAAAATGAGCCAAACACACAAAAACAATTTTCCAAAATGCAACCAAACACTGAAAAAGAAAATGTTTTCCGGAAAATGACTCATTTTCCAAAAAAATTTTCCAGAAGTCATTTTCCTGCTTTCCAAACGGACCCTTAGTGGATGTTGAGGAATGGCATTTTGAAGTTTCTAGGAGAAAAGATGAAGATTTGATGAATTTTGGATTTTGATTGGGGTGAGGCAGTGAGCTGCCTGAAGAAGGAAGAAGAAGAAAGGGTTCTGAAGCTTTAATTTGGGGAAAAAAAGAGAAGAAAAGACCAAAACACCCTTGGTGGGTCTTGGTCACGGGTCTTCACGGAGTCCACCGCCAAGGTCCGCTGCATGGACCGTGGTCACGGCTCCCACTCACGGATCATCCCAAGATCCGTTGAGTAGCCCCGTTCCAGGGCACAGCTCTGGTGAGGCTCCACACACGCGCTTCGCCCAGGTACCTTGTTCGAATCCTCAAATCGGCAAAATCACAAGTGGTCCCCGACTTTGTTACTCTCAATTCCTAAGTTAAAATTTGACTTTTCCAATTCCTTTTCGCGGTCTTTCGGTCCAACTTAACTTAAATTAATCCCTTGTCCATTTCATTCCCGGAACTTTTTCAATTCCTTCCCGTTCACACTCTAACCTTGAGGATTTAATCGTTGCTTGCCGTAAGCTAACTTTCCTAATTAAATTCTAATTATTCCCTAACAATTTCAATTGCACTAGTATATATCTCATTCTTATTAGAATTTCACTTGCTTAATATTGGTACCATTTACCGAGAATTCCCAAAATTATTTCCAAATAAAGTCTTAAGTCTCAAAGTCCTAAACAAGAAAAATTGCACCAAATCTTCCATTCACATAATAGAGCAAGAAGCTAAACAAAAGCATTTGCACTTAATCCAATTAGAATGTTACCTTTCTTGAAATTACGTCCCTCAGCTTGTGATTTCCCCATCACCATAATCCTCCCCGATCCCGCTCCTCCCGGGCGTCCTTGATTGGGTCCTCTCCGTCCTTGGTTGCCATTCCTGTGTGGACTACCACCTGTAGTGTTCCCTCGACCCATTCCTCGGTTCGGCGCTTGATTGAACTGGCCTCTTGGTGGTTGATTCTGTGCCGTATTGGGAGGTCTTTCCGTCTTAGGGTACCAACAGACGGCGGCTCGATGTCCCGGTCTCTCGCAATTGTAACACACCACGGGTCCACCTCCACCAGTTGTACGAGGGTGATCCTTTCCACACCTCATACATGCAACACTCCTAGCACTGGACGACCCTCTAGCTCCAAATCCATGTCCTATAACTGGATTCCTCCTATCCACATTCCGATTGTCGTGCCTTGACACGGGATTAAATCTGTGCCCCTTTCCCGACTGTGGGTCACTCTCCTCACTTTTCTTCTTCGATCCAAGTGTGGCAGTCCGGTTTAGTTGCTGAATTCGTGAATGTCCGGCAGCTGCATCATAAGCTTCATTCAAAGTTAGAAACTTCATAGTAGTAAAGAGTCTCTTTGCCTCGTAGTGGAGTCCATAGACGAACTTCCTGGCCTTGCTAACCTCGTCCGGTGCAATAGTGGGAGCAAAGAGCGCCAATGCCACAAAGCGGGCATGATACTCCTGCACAGTCATACTTCCCTGCTCCAAATGTAAGAATTCTTCGTACTTGGCAGGCTTCAAGTGCTCAGGATAGAACCTCTCTCTCAAAGCAACCTTGAACATCTCCCAATCAAAGTCCTCCTTCTCCCGAAGTGTCGGACTCTCCATCATCCACCACTGGTCTGCCTCCTCCTGTAAGTAGTACACCGCTATCTCCACACGCTGGTTTTGAGGGCAATTGACAACATATCAAACAGCTTGTCAAAGGTCTGGATCCAATTCCCTAGAATCATCTCAGGGTCCTCCTGTCCCGAATAACTCGGCGGTTACGCCCCGTGGTCTTTTTTGTCACATCTCCTCCGTTGTTTCCATTCAGCACGGCAGCCCCAATGGTCTGAGTCAGTTGGGTCAACTGACGTAGACTCTTAGTCAGATCTGTAGTAGACGAAGCTGCAGCTCCTGTGGAACGAGGAGTCTCTTCCCTAACTCTTCTCGGTGGCATTTTTTAGTCCTTTACACGATCAGAAGAGATCACCTTAGTTAGAACCTCTAAGATCTTACTACTTCTAACTTCCCTTTCTCAAAAGTAAAGCTCACAACAAGTAAATCACGTAAACAAGATACAAGTATAACTCTTATACTTCTCACATTAACAACTTTCACATAACTTTCAATTTTCAAACTTTCAAGGCAATACAAACTGCACTTTAAACACATTAGATAAGAACATAAACAGTTAAGCAAGCGTTAGAAACTCACAGTCTCACCGCGTTCCTAACTGATATCCTTAAAGAACTTCTTAACTTTGGAATCCTTACACTTAAAAAACTTAACTTAAAGTCTTTCTTACCCTAAATCTCACCACTTAATTAGGATTTCTTTCCATATCTAGACCATCCTAGTGCTTCAACTTAGGGTTCCTATAGTCAATCTTAAGGTTCAGATTTACTATGTCCTGCCTGTTCGTACCGCTCTGATACCAACTTGTAACACCCCCATTTTCTAAAATCTAAATCCCAAATAAACAAGCTTAAACAAGATAATTAAACAAGGTTTAGATAACTTAAATACCCAAAAGATCGGCTAAGGGTGTCAACGCCACAACCAGCACTCAATGTGACTGCACAGGCTAAAAGATAGATAACTAGAGTCAAGCTCTAAAACATCAATAACTTGGGGAAACAAACCCCGGTGTCCACGCACCACAAAAGATCAATTTAAAACATCAACTAACATCAGTTTAACTAAAGCAGAAACTACTCTAGTACTACCACCTCAATCTACGCACTAAACTACCACGTGCGCGCTCAAACACTGGGCCCAACTGAAAGGGGTTATAAAAACATGTAGGAAAATAAATCCGTTAGCAAATTAATGCTAAGTATAAAACCACTCAACCCTGTAAAATACTATAGATATAGATTTGGGAAACATTTGGCATTCACAAATAATCTCAAGTATGAATATAATCACTTACAACACTTAATCAACAATCTCAATACATACTCATAAACATCTCTATATGCTTGCGACCTATACCTCATATAAACATGTTTTTCTCAATGCTCAAATTAAACACATTCTCATTCTTGAAACATATATCTCTAAACATCACTCAACATGCAATACTCAATCTGATAGATAAAGAGATAACTAAAACTCAACTAGTAAGATCATGCTATCATGCCAACTCTTAAAGAATAACAATTGCTATACTTATCAAAATGCTCTAAATGCAACACATGCTAAATCATACAACAAGATATGACATGATGCTTTAAATATAGATATACTCTCACTCATATATATAAAAAGATCATTTTCTGTGGAGGTTTTTGTTGAGCCCTCTTGACTCACGTACTTTTCTCTTCTTTCTTCTTTCTTGCTTTCTTTCTGAACTCGCGGGCGAGGTAGGAACTTCAGGAATCGTGAAACGAACCTATCTAGGCTCGGCGTCTAGCCGGCCTAATACTCATCTCGCCCACAGAACCACTCTCTTGGTTCTTATATAAATCTCTGTGGAATTAGGTATCGTACTTGTCAGTGTGCAACTCCCTAACAAGGATTCCAAGCCCGGCGGGTAGTATCCAACCTAGTAACCCGGGAAAATCGACCAAGTTACTTCATATATATCTTTCCGTCCTCTGTGACCGTTTCTTTATTTTTTCAAACTTTCTTTCTTTCTCTTTTCTTCTGAAAGGACCAAGTCCTAACGAGCCTCCAAAATCTATTTTCCTCACAATAGATAGCATATATATATATATATATATATATATATATATATATATATATATATATATATATATATATATATATATATATATATATATATATATATATATATATATATATATATATATATCCCATGAAACTTCTTTCTCATGTAATAAACTCTAACATATGCAAGCTTTGCAATGCATATAAATCTCAACAACTTCTCTTTCTCACATTTTGGAAATCAAATATCATGCAATCATTTCAATGCAACTGGATAGAGATTTTCCAAAATAGATATATGTTTTTGAAATAGAACTTAGCCTTTCTTAGATCCAATAATGCACTTTAACTTGGAAGTATGCTAACATGATCATTTACTGTGAAATGGAACCAATACAATGTTTCATGCCAAAATCTCAACAACTTAGCAAATCTTCTCAACAAATACTATCAAGTATTAAACATGCTTCTCAAATATTTAAATACTCAAATGCTAACATTTTCCTTCACTGTCTCACTTCCACAGAACAACAAACATATACAGAGCATTCATTCCTTCATTTATTTCATTGCTAAACATGCTTCCTAGCTCCAAATTAAACGAAATCAACTTCTACTAGCGCGTTGTAACGAGCCTGAGTGTTCGAGCCTCAAGGGCCCACGAGTCCCGGTCCGAACAACACAGAGGTGAGCCACAGAGGGCTCAGCCAGTAAGAGTTTTGGCCTGGCAGAGCTTGGTGGCGGGGCTTCAAGTGACAGCCCTTGGCAACGGATCCAGGGATCTGTTGCCATGGTCTGCTCCTCCACGGGTCTAGCCAGTTGACCTTGCCTAGGTTCGTTTGCTAGGCCCATGAGACCGCCTGGTGCACAGGCAGTGTGCACCAGTGTCATCTTCTTCACATGTAAACAACTCAGAGCAACAATACACACATCGAAACCTTAATAAATCAATCATAGATAATCAACAACGCACAAATAGCTCATCAACAAACATTATCTAGCATTTCCAAACATCTATTTCACATTTCTAGCAGTTAACAGAGCAAAACTAGTTTGGGAGTCCATGGTTTATACCTTGAGCTTCTTCTTCTTCTTGTGTGGATCCCCATTTCCTCTCTAACTCAGCTATCACCTCCTTCACTACCTATTCACCTCAAACAAATAACACATACAAAACTTAAGGAGAGAATCTCAGAGATTTGGGAAGGCAAGAATAGATAGCCTAAGAGAGAAGATGGAATGAATGGATGAGATGAAACTTATTGTGTTCTTCTTTCTTCTTCTACAGAGCGAAGAATTTGAGAGTGGAGAGGCAAAAGAAAGGACCAGGGAGCTCAATGGAATAGTGAAGATTATATAGGGTCCAAAACCCTAGTTTGCAAATGATTGGGTGGAGGGCAAAGGAGTAATTTTGCTTGAAGAAATATCAAGGTTCACCTTATATCATGGACCATGGTCTTAAAAATGATTTTAGACAACTTGGTGTCAAAATAGATTTTCCGAAATATATTTCTAATTAAAACACTTGGTTCAGGTTTCAAAGGTTCCTCTCCGGTTTCACTCAGATTGACTTTTTGGGTCAAAACTTTGTACATAAATTTACCCGAAATTTAGGATTTTCAAAATAGAATAACTCTTGGTGTTAAATTTATTTAAAAATTCGATTTAAAATATTTAATTCATACACCGATTTTGGAAAAATTTTTGGAAGAGTGAAAATGAATATTTTGGAATTTTATAAAATGGAATTTAGGAAAAATATTTTTGGATTGTCACACAGTTCCTGAAGAGGTTGTTGCCCCACAACCTTTGCAAGGTGATGGAGGTCCAACATTAAGACGGTCTACTCGAATGAAAAGATCAGCAAATCCTAGTTATTACATTTCGGAGAAAATTTCAATTTTGGTCCACTGACTGTTGGAGTTGTGTTAATTGCAACACCTGACTTTAAAAAATGTTAATTTGGTACATTGACTATGCGATTTCTATCAACTTTTGTCACACCGGTCAAATTACCGGCAAATTGTGACCGGAAAATGTGAAGTCAACATTTGAACTGAATTAGAATGGGCAAAATCGTCTTTTCTTGTTCCTTCCAATTTGGGACATTGACTTGTAACACCCCGTGTTACGGCCTTTAATCCGAGACTAATCATTTAATCAATCCCGTTAATAATAATTAAAAGGGGTTTAAAATTGGTTAGGATTCCCTTCAATTAATTAGTGTGGTCCACAATGGACCACAGACCCTTATCTTTAACCAAGTCCTTAATCCTATAAGAAATAGGATAAGTGGACCCTTACCATTCAGACCTTAGCTGGAACTCCTGAATCTATATATAAAGACTTAGGAAGCATTTTGAAACCCTACCATAGTTAATTCAACCACACAAGATATTCACGGAGAGAAACCTACAAAGGAATCCCCCTGCCACCAAACGCAGGGGAATCCACGGGAAGAAGATCTTAGAGAAGAACCTTAGTAGCCAAGGATATTGACTAGGGCTAAGAGGTAACCCATGTCTCAACAAAAGCTATATTCCTTGCTATATCTTATTCATTGGCTCATTTGATATGTGATTCTGTGCTTGAGTCTTGAGAGAGCTTTGTGTAGGGTTTATATTATGTTTATGTGATAATCTTGATGTTCTTGATGTTATGATTGATTATATGAGTTATCTTGTATTTTGATTATATCTAAAGCCCTAGGGTTTATATCATGAATTTCGTATTATGATGTTCTTGGTATATTTGGGTGGGATTATGCATGATCGGGTGTTGAGTCTAGCCTAGGATTTGTCCTTAGGACTTTGCATATAGATTTCTTGATATTCTTGTGGTCTCGGATGCTCTTGGACTGTTATATGATTTATGTTGGGTCTTGGTATGTTTAGGAATCGTGTTTGGACGTATTTGGTGTGATTCTTGGTTTAATTCCCTTAATTGAATACGTGGTGTTGTCATTATGTGTTTGGACATGGTTTCGGGTTCTGCGAGAGATCCCGGGACTGAAAGTTGCCTGTGTATCAGTGGGGGGGTATGTGGGGGGACTAACCACCCGCCACCTACCCACTGCCCGTATCACTGTTCCAACGGGCAGGCGGCGGGCGGTGGTCTGCCACCGGCCACCCGCTGGAATGGCGAGTGACCACCGGCGGGTGGTCACCCACCCGCCACCTACCCGCTGGAAATCGATCGGGGTTCGTGATGTTTTCCCCCATCGTTTGTTTTTTTCCCGTGTCCCGTTGTACCCCGTTTGTCATGTATGAATCTCATTTGGTGTTTTAAGTATCATTATAGGAGTTTATGTGTAATACGTGTCGTTGTTGTTGTGCCTTGATTGATTATGTGATTATGTGTTGATTGATTGAATGATGATGAGTATCGTGGTCATTGAGCAATGGCCAGTGTGACTGATGATGTTAATGATGATGAGATTGTGATTGGTGGAAATGAATTGTTGGCGGTTGGCACCACTTGTGCCCGGTCATTGTACTAAAGGTACATGCCATAGCGGTGACTGTGCTAAAGGCACACACCCACCTTCAACTAGCTTGCCGTTGAGCATGGGTTAGGTTATAAGTGCTGCGGTGTCATGTTAGAGATATACGCGCTAACCCCTTGATAGTGGCACTAAAAGTGCGGATCATTGAATGGCACTACGGCACCATCTTGATATGTTGGTGGTTGATAGGTGGTTTGTCGGTGGGGGCATGTAGTTGCCCAGAGGCATAAGGGGTGGTGATATAATGGTGGCGTGGAGGTATAGGTTGGAACTAATATAAGAACGGAGGGGAGCTACAAGGTTGGAACTTGGTATAAGGTTGGAGGATGAATTGTGTGCTTTGTTGACTACTTGCTAATTGATTATATTGAATGCCTTGTTGCCTTTTTGTTACTTGTATGCTTATCTGCCTGTCATGTCTTGTATTGCATGCTTAGAATGCCTGTTAGTTCTTACGATTATTTTATGATGTTGAGTCTGTTAATATGTCTTGAGTCTTGATCTTGGATTTAAACTAGAGTCTCGTAAGTATATATGTATTCCAGTTTCAAAATGAGTTTCTTATATCTACCTATATTGTACTTAACGCGTTGGAGTGTGTTACCAGCATTATTCGCTGACGGTTGTTATACTGAATGTTTTTCAGGTGATGAGCATTAGCTTTGGAGCGCGCTAGTCAAAGCGTTGGACTTAACCTAACTAGCCTTAGCTTAGTAGTTGGCCTGCGTGCCTTGGGATTGTATTTAAATATTGAATTAAAGATCTGTTATGCTTAGTTAACCTGTGCACCTGGGTTCTCAAACCTAGGTGTGGCATAGCACCTCGACACTTATGATTAGCCTTATGCTCTGTTTGGGATTCAATCAAGGGATTTGCCTTTATTTTATAAGTTTTAAATATCTCAGAATTTAGGGGTGTTACAGACTTGTTGACCAAAATTAAAACCACTTCCCTATTCCCGTCGGCGACGCCGACAACGGCGGCAAACTCCTAATCCACGTCGCCATCAACGGAGGAGGCGACACCGACTTCAACATCAACGATACATTCGAGGCATTGATCGAATCCCCCGGAGATTTCACCAATTTTAGCTCTGTATTCAAATCTCCGCCCAAATACGACTACTTGTACTGTGGATCGCCCATCTACGGAAATTTGAGTCCACAGAGGATATGAGAATGGATAGCATCCATGTCCGATTATTCAGTGAGAAGTCACATTTCGTGCCGGCGGTTCACACCCAGCGGTAATGGAGGTTCTCCGGCCGTGGATGAAGAAGGGCTATGTCACATTACAAGACGTCAATGAGGAAGAGCAATTCGACGGGTACTACCACAACCAATTCCTAATTGTTAATGATTGCCTTCATAGATACAAATTTCAGGCGAAATGGATGTTCTTCTTCGACGTCGACGAGTTCATCTTCATCCCCAAGAAGAGCACGCTCAAATCCGTCCTGGATTCCCTCTCCGCCTTCACCCAGTTCACGATCGAGCAAATGTCGATGTCTAACAAGCTCTGCCTCATGGAAACTGCTGGGAAAATGCACTAGAAATAGGGGGTTCGACAAGCTGGTGTTCAAGGACGTACTCCAAGACTGGGATCCGGCGAGGAATGTGGTCGCCACTAGGGTCCACATGTCGGAGAACACTGTCGGGCAGGGGTTTTAATTTTGGTCAACAAGTAAATTTTCCAAATTGGAAGGAACAAGAAAAGAAGATTTTGCCCCTTCTAATTCAGTTCAAATGTTGACTTCACATTTTCCGGTCACAATTCGCCGGTAATTTGGCCGGCGTGACAAAAATTGATAGAAATCGCATAGTCAAGGTACCAAATTAACATTTTTTAAAGTCAGGTGTTGCAATTAACACAACTCCAATAGTCAGTGGACCAAAATTGAAATTTTCTCTTACATTTCGTATCTACAAGAATCTAACATTGGAGTCAAAAAATGTTCCTGAGATGTTTTCTCAAGCCACAAATTGTGCCCAATCTGACTTTTGGCATGAAGCCATGACGGATAAAATAAATTCCATGAAGAGCAATGGAGTTTGGGAACTTGTTGAATTGCCTAATGGGGCCAAGGTCATTGACTGTAAATGGGTCTTTAAAACCAAGTTAGATTCATTAGGCAATATTGAGATATACAAGGCCCGACTTGTTGCGAAGGGATTTACTCAAAAGGAAGGAATCGATTACAAGGAGACTTTCTCTCCTGTTTCAAAGAAAGATTCACTTCGAGTCATTTTGGAATTAGTTGCACATTTCAATCTTGAGTTGCAACAAATGGATGTGAAAACAACATTTCTTAATGGTGATCTAGAAGAGAAAGTTTATAGGTTTCTCTTCTAGGGGTGTTGAGAATTTAGTTTCTAGCTTAAGAAATCTATATAAGGTCCATCATTGTATATACCGGAAGGTGAGTTAGAGTAAACTATGCTTTCATGTTTTATATGTGGATGACATTTTGCTTGCCACCAATGACAATGGGATGTTTCGTGATGTGAAACAATTTCTCTTGAAGAGAGTTTTGAGGTATCCAAAAGGAACTAAGAGTCACGTGCTTGGGTTTAGGCAGCCGGACATCATAGATGTTATCGGTTATTTTGATACGGACTTCGTTGGCTATGTTGATTCTCGAAGATCAACTTTACGGTACGTCTTTATTATGGCCGTTGGGGCTATCACGTGGAGAAGTGTTAATCAATATTTAATAATTACTTCTACCATGGAAGCTAGGTCCGTTTCCTGTTACGAGGCCACTTCATAAGGTGTGTGGCTCAAGAATTTCATCTCTGGGCTTAGAGTTATTGATTCTATATCTATGTCATTGAAAGTCTATTGTGACAACTCAGCTGCAGACTTCCTAGCTAAGAATGACAAAAGTGGGAGTCGAATTAAGCACCTCGACATCAAGTTCTTAGCCATTACTACTGAGTTGATGTTAGCAGATCCCTAGACTAAATGCATGCCTTCAGTTAAATTCAAGAATCTTGTTAAGAAAATGAGACTTTCGCCCACTTTGTAATTTGTATATATACATTCAGTATTCAGTTTTGATGAAATTCTTTTGCATTTTGACAATTATCTCATTATGTGTGTACGCCTTTATTTTATTGAGATAATGTACTTCAGTTGGAATTGAAATAAACGTAGGGTTTGTTTCATTAAGTTTTTGTTTCATAAATTAAGTGCTCAAGGGTGGTTTACATTTGATCATAATGGATGCTACTCGATTTAATGAGGACATATCACTATGGTCGGTGTTTTTCTATTTTTGGGTTATGGAGTTTGCACCAAGTGGGAGAATGTAAAGTTTTCCTAATTACATTATTATAATATTAGGTCAAAGTTATAAATATTAAGGTAATATGTTATGTGGTGCAACACTTCCATACATGTTTCTATTAATTAAGGTAATACTTAATTATAAAGGTAAGAAGTGTGATTAGGGAAGGGATTCAGTTACCATATTAATGGCATATTGGCCCTCTAGTCCTCTCACTACTTGACATTATTCCTCATACACCATCTAGAGAGGGTTGAGAAAGTGAGAGAAACATATACTGTTACTCTGCCGCAGCAGTCTCGTGTCTACACAACATTCATCAATCTGAAGCTATGGCTGGAGGTTAGTACTTAGTACTTTAACACGATCCTGTATATCACGTATTTATGTTCCTACGTGATTTATATCTTACATTTTGTGCTTAAGGTGCGTGGGTTTGTGTTCTGAAGGTATTTTGTTTGTGTGCTTAATGTGCGTGTGTTGTGTACTTAAAGTGTGTCAGTTTAATGCTTAATGTGAGTCCAACGACACAACCGCATGGGAAGCCCCTCCCGCACCTGATCCCTTCCCTATATGTATATGTATATGTATATGTGTCTATATATAGATTTTGAATTCGGTGCACACCCCCTAGTTAACCGAGTCCGTGAGCACACTCCCTGGTCGTTGATGGTGTTTTATTTAACGGTGAGATGGTGTGATGAAGAAACACATGTGCACTGGACTTAGGGGTTCTTTTGTAATTTATCTTTGGCCTTTATTATGTTTAGTCGTATCAACGGCGGTGATTTTGCGTGTGTGAGGAAATAAAATAGGAGTATTGTCTTCTTCTCTCCGCTGGCACTCGATCTCTTCAGATTCTTCGCCTAGGCTCTTCCTTTTCGAACCCCCATCGTCTTCAGGTCTCCTCATCCCTCCGGTGTTCACCATGCCCGCGTTTCCTTCATGTCTGGTTCTAGCAGGAGGCAGTCCAAGCGGCTTAGGGGCATCTCTTCTGCTTCCAATATCGGTATTATTTTCACCGATTCCTTGTTTTTTTTTGTTCCATTTTTTGGGTGTTTTTGGTTTTTTTTTTTTTTGGGTTTTTGGGTTTGCTTCTGTTCGGGCGGGTTTTGGGTTGGGATTTTAGATTCTGTATTTTCTTGGGTCTGTAGTTCTTCTGGGTGTTATTTTTTTGGGGGTTTTCTCCAGGGTTATTGTCTTGGCAGCCGTTGATGTCCTTAGGGTTTCTCTGGGCGGCGAGTGTGGTGATGAGCGGTGTTCGATTTCTGGGTTAGGTTTGGTGTTTTATTTTATTTTTTATTTTATTTTTTTATTTTTATTCTCTCTAAACGTATGAGGTCTTATGTTAGGGGTGGTCTGACGGTGTGCGTTTTTTTTTTTCAGTTTGTTTTGTTTTTTTGTTTTTTTTTTTTTTTTGGGGGGGGGGGGTGTATGAGTGTGTGCATGTTGGTTTTTTTTTTTTTTTTTTTTTTTTTTTTTTTTTTTTTTTTTTTTTTTTTCTTTTTTTTTGTTCTGGGTGGTGGGTGGTGGCATGGGGGTTATGTGGGTTGTGATTTTGGGGTTTGGTTCGCGCCGAGCTTGGAGAGGATTGGTGGTTTGGTAGGTGGGTTAGAGGTCCTTCACGCAAAGTGGGTTTTTTTTTCATTATTATGTTTTTTTTTTTTTTTCGTGGAGTTCATTGTTTATTTTATTTTTTGGAACTTATTAATTATTGTTGTGTTGTTTGTTTTCAAAAGTGTTATTTTGTGTGTATTTGAATTCTTAGGGCGTGTTTATTATAATTGTTTTTTGTTTGTAGTTTCTTGGGGTACCGTTTGTAGGTATTTTTTTATTTTTTTTTTCATCGCTTAGTTTTTGAATGCCATTTTTTTCTGGTGTTGTATTTGTTTTTAATGTGAAATTAAGGAACATTGTTTTGTTTTCATCCATATGTTTAGGTATGCCTGCCTGCTGTGATTGTGCATGTGATTAATGTTCAGGGTGGTTTTTCTTTTTGCGTACGGTAGCTAGATGGTTGGGTTTTTTTTTTTGTTTTTAATTTCATGCCATGTGCGTTATTGTTTTAGTATGTGCACAATATTTTGTTAGGGGTGAAAGGTATGAGGCTTCAAATGTATGGATATTTGGCCTGTGACAGGTTTTGTTTTTTTATGTTGGTGACGTGGTTATTTTTCATGTTATTTATGGTCACGTTTAGGTTTTTCTTTAGCATTATTGTTTATGATTTTTTCAGACAATCTCAACCAATTTTTTGTCTTACTATATCTGTTTTTTTTTTCTTTTTATGAAAGTCATTTTCACAGTAGGTGAATGGCGTTTGGGGTTTGAGTATTTTGCTTGGGCAAATGCATATGGGTCCAATAATTGGTGTGTTCGGGTTTGGAGTTTGGAATCTGCATTGTCGTTTTATTTTTCCTTTTTTTTCGTTTAGGTTTGTGCACTACTGGTTTTTGGTTGGTGCGTGTTTATTATTATTATTTTTTTGTTACGTGTTTTGGGGGGATTCGTGGGTAAGTGTGGTGGTTGTTGCGTTCTAGTTTGTTACCTTGTGCAAGTTAGGGTAAAGTGTTGTTGGTATTTGCTACTGTTGGTTTTGTTATCAGTTTTGCATTTATGTTGGTGCGCCACTGGTATTTGGTCGGTGCGTGTTTATTGTTTTTTTAGGATTTTTTGGGGTTGCATAATTAGCTGTGGTAGTTTGTGTGTAGTAGTATGTTACCTTGTGCAAGTTAGATTGAAATTTAGTTGCTAATTGGCACTAGTTTTTTTTTTTTCTTTTTTTTTTTTTTTTTTACATTTAGGTTGGTGCGCTACTGGTATTGGGTTGGTGCGTGTTTATTCAATTATTAACCCCATCCAAAGACACAGAGGGCAGTGTTATTTGCAGTAACAAACTGCATGTAGTGGGGACACAATAGTTAGAAGATTGTTTTGAGAAAAACCAAAAGTTGCCTAGGGTAGTTATATTCTGAAGCCCAAAGAATTTTGAAGCATTTGCCATTAAAGAGAGGTAATTGTAGTTAAAATGCAAGGTAACATTAAACCATTGTGAATATGTAATGCAGAGAGTGGTTGAACCCATGCATATTAATCCTGTTTACCTAGAAGAGGTAAACAGGATTAGTATGCTGGCTACCCGGTGCTTAATTGGTTCCAAAGGATCTGAGAAGAGTCCGGTGTGAAAGCTTTCCAGTGTTGATATACCTCTCATATACTCCCGTTGTAAACCTCTCATATTTCAGATTCTATCGACGTCATATCAATTGCATGCTCTTAGTTGAAGTTACTTGCATTGTTCAATACATGTTGCTTTGGTTATGTTACCTTTGGCTAATGTTTATCAAAAGGGGGAGATGATATGAATTGAGGGGGAGAATGTGTACGAATGGAGGGAGAGAGGGAGACATAGATCATATTAAGGGGAGAGTGTATAAATTAAGGGGGAGAAATTGTTGTACATCTTTGAATGAATTGAGGGTGAGAGAAAGTAAAAGCTGAGGGGGAGAACTTGTTGTACGGGTGAGAGAACTTTGTTGAGGGTGTATATGAATTAAGAGGGAGAAAATGTACAAACTGAGGGGGAGAACTCGTTATATGATTGTTTGATTAACATATGCCAAAGGGGGAGATTGTTAATATAAATATAGTACTAAATATATATATATATATATATATATATATATATATATATATATATATATATATATATATATATATATATATTACGTATTGTACATACTAATATATATTTGTTGTCATATGTAAATGTCCTAATTGTGGAGATTATAGTGCATGAAATATGGACTTGTATTAAGTGGTGGACGTGTGTGCGTGTGGAACCGTAGCAGACACTAGGTATCCCTCTTCTAGGTAAACACGATAGTATGCACCAGTTCAATTCATATCATCTCCCCCTTTTGATATGATCTGTGTCTCCCTCTCTCCCTCAATTCGTACACATTCTCCCCCTCAATTAATATCATATTCCCTCAATTCATATCATCTCCCCCTTTTGATAACCATTAGCCAAAGGTAACATAACCAAAGCAACATGTATTGAACAATGCAAGTAACTTCAACTAAGATCATGCAATTGATATGACGTAGATAGAATCTGAAATATGAGAGGTTTACAACGGGAGTATATGAGAGGTATATCAACACTGGAAAGCTTTCACACCGGACTCTTCTCAGATCCTTTGGAACCAATTAAGCACCGGGTAGCCCTCTTCCAGGTAATCAGTGGAGAGGTTCATAATGGGAGTATAGGAGAGGTATATCAACACTGGACAGCTTTCACACCGGACTATTCTTAGGTCCTTGTGGAGCCTTAGTAAGTACCGGGTAGCCCTCTTCCAGGTAACCAATTTAAGGAACACTTAACTCTAGATAGCTTTCACTCCGGGCTGTTCTATGGTTCTTTTGAACCGTAGCAGACACCAGGTAGCCCTCTTCTAGGTAAGTATTTCGGGTATGTTAATGGAGCGTTTTACACTAGACAGCTTTCACTCTGGGTTGTTCTAGGGACCTTTGGAACCGT